GGAGTCTCGATGGAAAGCTCTTTCACGTATACTTCGCCCTTGAAGACGGCGCGAAGACATGGTTTATAAACCGGGAGGCAACATTGACGACATGGGAGGAGTTTTGTCGTCGGTTTCTTGACACCTTCGGTAACGCGGACCGACGCGAAAACGCACAACGCCTTCTTGAAGGACGCACCCAACAGCTGCATGAAAGCGTCGCCATGTTTGCTGAGGATATGGTGCGCCTGTGCCACCGCGCGGACCCCAACATGCCCGAGGCTCGAAAGCTAACCCATCTCATGAGGGGCGTCAAAGAGCAGCTATTTGTTGGTCTTGTGCGCAATCCACCGACAACAGTGGACGAGTTCACCAGGGAGGCCACCGCAATAGAGCGTGCGCTACAGCAACGGTACCGACAGTCTGATCGCCCGGCCACCGGCGCAGCTGCAGGCGCCGCCGCACTTACCGCAAACGACGAGTTTGCTCTACGCCACCTGATTAGACAGATCGTGCGTGAGGAGATCGCGAAGGAGAACGCGAAATACACATTGCAGTCACAGGCGCCCCCGCAGCAGGAGTCCACGGTAGCCTCCGTCGCTGAAATAGTTCGCCATGAACTTCGACAAGCGTTTGCCTCTCCTCAGCAATATTCTGCTCCACCGCACCGTCCAAACTCGTATACCTATGCAGATGCTGTGCGTCGTCCATTGGCTCCAGAAGTATCGTACCAGCCGAACGGATACAGCTATGCAGACGCTATTCGTCGACCCACGCCCATGCCAGCGCCGCAGTACCTCGAACCGTATCCTGTGGCAGCCTGGGCTCAGCAGGATTCTGTCAGGCGACCCTATATGCGGAAGACCGACATATGGCGCACTGCGGATCGTCGACCACTCTGCTACAACTGTGGAGAGCCAGGGCACATTTGCCGTTTTTGCCCACATCGCCGAGCTGAATACCGCGGTAGTGCACCTACAGCTACGCGCCGACAGTTCGACGAAAGCCGTGCCCCCATCGACGACGACCAGGCTGGCAGGCGGGAAGGCTCTTCTACCTTCCGGACGCGGTCACCATCACCGGCTCGCTTTGGTTCACCAAGCCGCCGTAGTTTTGCTGACGCCGTCAGAGGTCGGTCTCCCAGCCCACGGCGGGGAAACTGAAAGCAGCGACCTCTGGGGGGAAGGTTGCAAGCCGTCGAATTGCCGAAAAACCCCCACTGCTGCCGAAACACGTGAGAGACGACAATGAAGACTTCGCCGAAAAAACTGTGACTGCCGACCTTGCTGTGACGATTGACGGCGTTGAAGTGACGGCCTTAGTCGATACGGGTGCAGACTTCTCCATAATGAGTGAACGATTGGCAGACGAACTCAAGAAAGTCAGGATGGAATGGACGGGCCCTTATATCCGAAGTGCTGGAGGCCAGATAATGACTCCCACGGGAAAATGTACAGCAAGACTCACTATTGAGAATGTGGCTTTTGTAGCCACATTTCTGATCCTACCGGAGTGCTGCAAACCTATGATTCTGGGAATGGACTTCTTAAGAGAGTACGGTGCTGTGGTCAACATACGCGACGGTGTGATCACATTTGCCGCTGACAAGTCTGTGACCACTGATCCAGACCAAGAACCCAGGGTGTTACGTGTGGTCGACGACGACGTCTGCGTGCCACCACTGTCATGTAGTCTTGTTTCCGTGTGTTGTGCCGTGCACTGTAATGAAGACGCCATAGTCGAACGCATCACTGACCTTCTTTTTCACCAAGGCATCGCCATCGCTCGCGGTATTGTCAGCTTAGTGGATGGGCGCGCAGACGTGCTTCTGACCAACTTCACGAATGAGCGCCGGCACATCGGTAAAGGCACGGCTGTGGCGTACCTCGAAGAGCTGGACTACTCTCACGACTGTCTTCTAATGCAAGGGGAAGCCACAGTTCAATCACCTCCACATACACCACCAGTTGATATCGGTCCGAGTCTAACACCGACTGAAAGATGCCGTCTTATGGAGCTGCTCGACCAGTTCAAGGACTGTTTCTCATCGACATCACGAGTGGGTCGAACGCCTCTGACTAAGCATCGTATAATTACAGAAGACACAGCAAGACCGATCCGACAGAACCCTTATCGCGTCGCTCAGAAAGAACGTGAGGTAATCCAGCAGCAAGTCAAGAAGATGCTAGAGGATGACGTTATCCAACCATCAAAAAGTCCTTGGGCATCTCCAGTGGTACTCGTGAAAAAGAAAGACGGCAGCTTGCGTTTCTGCATCGATTATCGTAAGCTGAACCATGTTACAAAAAAAGACGTTTATCCATTACCACGGATCGATGACTCTTTGGACAGGCTACGGCATGCACGCTACTTCTCGTCAATGGACCTTAAAAGTGGATACTGGCAAATAGAAGTAGATGAGCGCGACCGAGAAAAGACCGCCTTCGTGACGCCAGACGGGCTTTATGAATTCAAAGTCCTCCCTTTCGGTCTATGCTCAGCCCCAGCCACGTTTCAGAGACTAATGGATACCATTCTGTCCGGCCTGAAATGGAAAACATGCCTTGTGTACCTCGACGACGTGGTCGTTTTTTCGGCCACGTTTGAAGAGCATCTAAAGCGGCTACTGTCAGTCCTGCAAGCCATACGGTCCGCTGGACTCACACTCAAACCGGAAAAATGCCACTTCGGCTTCGAAGAACTCCAGTTCCTGGGACACGTGATCAGTCGCGAAGGTGTGAAGCCTGACCCAGATAAAACAGCAGCCGTCGCAAAGTTCGCAAGGCCTGTTGATAAGAAAGCGGTCAGGCGTTTTCTGGGTCTCTGCGCCTACTACCGGCGATTTATAGCAGGCTTTGCACACATCGCCTCTCCACTCACCCGCCTTACAAGGGAAGACATCGCATTTGTATGGGGTGAAGAGCAAGAAGCTTCATTCAACGAGCTGCGACAGCGTCTACAAACTCCACCTGTCCTCGCTCACTTCGACGAGAATGCACCAACAGCCATCCATACAGACGCCAGCAATGTGGGCCTAGGTGCTGTTCTTGTCCAGTGCCAAGATGGTGTGGAGAGAGTGGTTGCCTACGCTAGCAGAACGTTGACACGTGCCGAGTCCAACTACTCAACAACGGAGAAGGAGTGTCTGGCCGTCGTTTGGGCAGTTGCGAAGTTCCGCCCGTACTTATATGGCCGCGCTTTCCAAGTCGTAAGCGACCATCACTCTCTTTGTTGGTTGACCAACATGAAAGACCCATCTGGACGTTTAGCACGGTGGAGCTTACGGCTCCAAGAGTACGACATGGCCGTAGTGTACAAGTCCGGAAGGCAACACTTAGACGCCGACTGTTTGTCAAGGTCACCGATTGAATCACCGGCTATAGAGGATGATGATTTCCCAGGTTTTTTAGGAGTTGTTGATGCAGCTATTATTTCTCGGCAACAACAAGATGATCGGGAGCTCAACTCGCTTATAGAATTCTTGAATGGACGAGCCGCCAATGCACCAAGAGTGTTTTCGAAGAACTTATCGTCATTCTGTTTACGGGACGGAATTCTGTACAAAAAGAACTTTTCATCAACAGGTAGAAGCTATCTGCTGGTAGTTCCTGGAGCTCTCCGCAGCGAAATTTTACAAGCCTGCCATGACGAAGCCACTGCGGGCCACCTTGGTTTCACAAGAACACTGACACGCATCAAAGAAAAATATTACTGGCCAAGAATCGCAGCAGAGGTTAAACAGTACGTCCGAACATGCATTGACTGTCAGCGGCGCAAGGTACCACCTGTCAAACCCGCTGGGCTATTACATCCTGTGCCCGTGCCAGAAACCCCGTTTTCTCAAATCGGAATGGATCTGCTGGGCCCATTCCCAACATCGGACAGCGGCAACAAATGGGTTATAGTGGCGACGGACTACCTCACCCGATACGCGGAGACCAAGGCAATCGCGAGTGGCACTGCAGCTGAAGCGGCTCAGTTCTTCATTGAGAACATTGTTCTGAGACATGGTGCTCCAGCTGTCGTCATAACAGACAAAGGTACCGCGTTTACAGCCGAGCTTTTGCGCACTGTGCTTACGCTCAGTGGCACAGCGCATAGGAAGACGACAGCTTACCACCCACAAACTAATGGGCTTACAGAAAGACTTAACAAGACAATCGCTGACATGCTTTGCATGTACGTCGACGTAGAACACAAGAATTGGGACCGAATATTGCCGTACATCACATTCGCGTATAATACGGCGCGCCAGGAAACAACAAAAATGACGCCGTTCGCACTAATTCATGGCAGAGAAGTTACGACAATGCTTGACGCCATGCTGCCTTACGATTACAATGATTCAGAGACAGACGCCGCAGACTTCACTGAGCGCGCCGAAGAAGCAAGGCAGCTTGCCCGCGTCAGAATAATGAATCAGCAGCAACTTGATGCCCAACGGTACAACCTTCGCCATCGATTCGTCATTTATCAACCAGGAGATAGAGTCTGGGTTTGGTTTCCTGTACGACGACGAGGCCTCTCAGAGAAACTTCTACGCCGATACTTCGGACCTTACAAGGTTCTGCGTCGTCTTAGCGACGTGACGTACGAAGTCGTGCCCGACGCCTCCTCCTGTTCAAAACGTCGCCAGCGTCTGCCTGAGACAGTGCACGTGGTCCGCATGAAACTTTACCACTCTCAGTGATATAAACACTCGATGGCCGCATCTCTACCTGTTGAGCGTCGGGACGACGCTCACTCTGGCGGGAGGGTAATGCTGCGTGCATAGCTGCATTTAGCGGCGAGATAGCGACGACAACGAAGAACGCGGATTCGCTCGAGAGGCGCAGCGCAGCAGAGTGAAGAAGAGGACAATCTTAGCGGCCTTCTCTGAGAGCGTCTCTACAAGTCCTACTGTCCGTGTTTTTAAATAAACCCCCCTGTCATTTATAACCCGCGACAATATTATATTCATGAAAGCTCACGACAAAGTAGTGTGTAGGAGACAGAGAACTTTATTCTTATGAATCTTTCAGATGGTTGAACATCAGCAGGCTGTCAAATGTTTCTGGCTCAATCAAGTTTCATAATGAGTGAGTACACTTTTTATTGACTCCAAAGAGTCTTTTATTCTGACTCAGTCTGTTGAAGAATTCTGTTTTTTCAAACAGTAGGGTCACAAGCAACACTATTTGGACAATTTTACTCTGATTTTTGAACTCAGCCTCAGATCAGAAATGAGACTTGAACATACACAGACAAGAAAGGCTTGGCTTGTCTGTTTTTGCATCTGAGGGTGTGTCTCTTTTAGGATGCATCTAAACAGTGTTCCTGTGTTTTTGTGACCAAACTTTCATCTTAATTAACAGTATTATTCTCAGTAATTTCATTCGTGCAGCCTGCATACAAAAATCTTTGTCACAATGGCTTCAGAGAATGTGCTTTTCGAAAATATTTTCTATGTCTTGTGAAAACTCTTTTAGTGCCCGTTTCAAACCATTAAGTGTTATGAGCAGTCACTTGGATGGCCATCATTTCAGTTTAAAGGTATTTTACATGTTACACAGAAAAAGCAGTTATGTAGACAAACAGATAATTTTTTTATCTTCAACAAAGGAGGGTAAAAAGGGACAGAGGTTATTCCCCTCTTCCTTCCGGCTTTCTGAAATTAAACTGCCTGACCAGTTTTAAATATATTTTATTCGCTCATTCATTGCAGAGTGTCTTGTGCAGTGGACATCTCCCGGCTAGTATCATGCTAGAGATAACCACTACATGAGCCGTTTTCTTGTTTCCTCATTGCCATTTTTGTATTCAGACTAGTGCTAAAGTAGTCCTCAGAATAATGAAGTTCATGCTACAGTTAAGCGCAACTTACGATGTTCCAACAGGCTCTATCTAAATGACCCAAGCATGACAGCAGATCACCTCATGGACTAAAGAAATACAGTTGAATGACTATTATATTAAATCTGAAGGGGATCGCAAGTGACATGTAGGCAAACTTAAACAAGAAACATTTCCTATATTGAAAGCATATTTAAGGAGGTGTTGTTGTATGCGTGTTCAATATACTTCGATTTGACTGTAGTCCTGCTCGTGCACTCTGAAGCTGGAGTCACCGGCTGTCGAGCTCATGACGTCAGGCTCACGCATTGGTGTAGGTTTTTGAGGAGGGAATGGTGCAGATTTCTAAGGTCGTGTCTGGCTGCAGTTCCTTCCACAAACTTGCAGAAAGTGCAAGTTGCCTACCCAGAGGTGGGATATTACCTTCCCAGTTGTTGTGGGAAGTGCAGTTATCAGACATTAAAAAGTTGCCAAAAAACACTGCAAAAGACTCAAAGGATAAATCGGCCCACGGGAGTATATGTGCATATTAGCTACCTCCGAACACTTAACCGGAACTCCCATTTTTGTATGGTGAGAGAGAATCCAACACATGTCTGCAAAGGGTTAATGAAGTGTAGCATGCTCCGGCAGAACACTTTGAGCATTACAGCTGGTGGCCATTGATCAGTTTTGAAATTGGTTGGTAGTGCCATAGGTCCTCATGGCATGCGGCATAGGCTCACCCATCTTATTCTTTTGTAATCAGGCAGCGGTTGACTTCGCCACATGGGATTCACCTAGTCGAATTCCGCCGCCCCGAAGATGCAATGGTCATCGAATACTGGGAGTTCCCTGAAGCCGTCAAGGAAGTATGCATCGAGGCCAGCAAGTTGAATTTTCTGCAGTCGCAAGCGTCTGTGCCTTCCTTGGAGCAAGAGAAAGAGTGCAGTGATATCGATTTGCTTTATGTATTTTCAATTGATACAGCTGGAAACATGCTAGGAATAAATGTTAATCTGCCACGTAAATAAACGAAATTAACACTGTCGACCGCTTGCTCTGATTTTTTGTTTCTCTAGTTTGGGAATCTCGGCATATTTGAAGTATTTGACAGGTGCTACCATATTTGCTCAGGGAATAAGGTTCACCATTTATGGCTCATAAGTTTTTACCTTAGAAGTCTAATGTTAATTTCATTGTATTAGGTTCATTTTTAGAAAATAAAATGAAAGTGGGTTTTTAAAATTTTGCACCGAACGTACGGCACCCGAATTTTATTGTGACGTCATGAATCTTGATGCTTCTTTGTCTTATTTGCCAATGCTTCATAAATAGAATTTTTCAGTGCTTGCTTAAGGAGGTCTATAAAGCTTTCTTATAATACAAATTTATTTATACATTGATATGTAGGTTCTAGCAGACAACCATCGAAGTCTGTGACGTTACGAGTTGAGGACAAAACCTCGCAGCGGCATCGCCACTGTAATTTCCATTTCGCCCGCTTTCTGTCTTGCCAGGTGTTTTCTGGTAAGAAGAGTGAAGCTTTAGCACATTGTGAGGTGCATGAAAGGCTAGTTTAATATGAGAAAGTTGCACTCAAGCACTGCCATGTAAGGGCTGAAGCAATGTTTATGAACAGTATCCTGAAAGTTTTCATTTCACCGAAGACACAGCAGTGGAAAGGAGGGAGACGTGAGACGACATTTCTTAGTTGCTTTACAAAGCATGATCTTGAGCAATCGGCCTGCAGTCAAGCCTGCATATATCAAACTCGTAAATAAGGGAATGAGTTCAATATATATTGCATAATTTGGTGTTTCTACAATTCAATATAAAGCTTTTCAAGAATTAGAGATATTTTTGTTGCTTCAAGGCACCGCTTTAACATAAGGAAGGTGGTTTCATGAAGATATGCGATGATCTTATTTATTTATTATTGCAATAGCAATTATATGGACACTCTTTGCTGGATTTTGTCACCGGCGTCGACGTGGGTTTCGCCGTCATCACCGTACATGTATACGTATGTATATATATGAAAACCCAAGAAAGAAAAATCTAGAAAAAGCCCCCGGCGCACGGAATGGAACCTCTGAATTGTGAGTGTGAGGCGTTAGGCACTGAGCCAATAAGCGCACCACCTTCATTGCTCAAACAGCAAGCTATTTATATCTACCATTTACCACTGTTTATGGGCATCTCTGGAGTAATTATCGTGTTTTCAGCATTACCAACGAGATGCCGCAATGAGCGCACGTCGCCAGATCGTCACGATGTGGTGGCGGGCGCTTTCATCTCTCATGCGTACTTTGCCTCGCGGAGAGGAGACGCTCTCATGTGTGCTTGTTTATATAGCGGTGGGGACAATCGTACGCCTTGGGCTTTCAATAGAACGATTCTGTTGTAGTTGCTGGGAGCACAATGGTCACTCCACTTTTTGCGCAGTCTACGTTCGCCAAAAGGGTGCGCTTTTCAGACACAGCGAAGTAACAACTGAGACGCTTAACCGCGTTCATCTGTACCTGCGAGTACGTTTTGTGCGTCATTTCTGCATGAAAAACGTGGGGCACATCTAGATCTGCTTGCCATTCTTCGCGTTACCTTCCAATTTGTTGCTAATGCCTTCGTTGCTTTGCCTTTACAGCAAAGCTGTGGGTTTTTTTTGTGTGTGTAGCCTTCTATAGCCTAAAAAGGAATGTAAGCTTCACCAGCAGAACTGCTGTGTGCATGCCTTTCACCTATCAGAGGCACTTGTACTGGCGACTTTTCACTCCAATCATAATGTACTTTTTTTGGACACAACGAAGAGCACGCACAGAGACCGTAAAGATGAATAGACAAACGAGTGATGATTAAAATAATATAGAGGCTATGAAGAAGTGCATAATAAATGTCTACAATTATAAATGTTAAAGACACATAGTTTCCAGGAGCATAGCCAGAAATTGCTGTTAGGGAGAGGAGGTGGATGAAAGTTGTGTGTTTGTGCAAACATTTCAGTGTATGTGTATGAGATGTATATAAGGTATTTCACTTACAAGCCACTTTCCAAAAAGAGTTATGGAGGCATGACCCCTCCCCCCCCCCTCCTGAATGGCTGACTTTTGTTAGTTTGCACAGAGTATAGTTTGCCCACCCATTTGCTGCTTGTGAGCAGGGGCGGGTTATACGCGAGGATAGGGGGGGTATCAATGTAAACTGTAGATATCATGCAATTTAGTAAGTGCATGCAATGCAGTCTTATAAGCTCGTAAAATGTTCCGCGGTGTTATGTTTTTTTTTTTTTTCACGAAGCGACCGGCAACAGAGCGAAAGGCACCCACGGGCGCGATGAAGATAAATCGCGGGAGAAAACACCACGCGGCGTAGTAAGGGGGTGGCGTTAGCCTTTACCCCTGGTGAAGTTTTTGTTGCGATAGCAATTAAATGGACACTCTCGGCTGGTTTTTGCCGCCGCCGTCGATGTTTGTCGCCGCCGTCATTCACCGTATGTGTATACGTATCTATGTAAATAGAGATGCCATGAAGAAAAAAAATCTCAGCCTATCCTTGGAGTCAATGATGATGAGTGGGGCGAAGCGTCTGTCTGTCTGCTTCTCTGTCCGTCCATCCGTTTGAGTGATGCTGCCGGTTACACCCGACGCAGGCCAAGGTTAGCCTAAGGGGAGCGTCGCCCTTGAAATAATTTAGAAGGATTCTTTCCGGCGCGCGGATTCGAACGTGTGACCTCCCGTTCTTCAATGCGTGGTGTTATCCACTGAGCCACAAAGGCGCACCTCCGTCAACGTTGCAAAGGCAAGCTATTTACATCTACCACTCATCGCTGGCGGTGCCGATCTCGGGGGAAATATCAGCGTGTTTTCAGCATTACAAGTGAGATGACACAATGAGGGCGCTCGGCGCAGAGTTACTGTATATGCTACCTTTCGGTAGCATATACAGTGACTCTAGCTTGGCGTGGGTGCCGCGATGTGCGCCGCCTGGCGGCCACATTAGTTCAAAAGTGTCGGGCGGCTTGCAGAGGAGGGCGTGGAAACGAGGCTGTAAACGCGTTGTTGTTGACGTATTGAGATCCGTTCTTTGGCTGCTATGACAGGTTGCTGTGTGCCACTATGTACTAGTTCACACTCGAAAGCCCAGCGGATGTTTCGCTTCACTCGTAATAGCGAGTGAAGAAAAAAAATGGGAAGCACAAGTGAAGCGCGGCCGCTGGCATCCGACCGACAGCACCAAGGTATCTGAGGTTAGTTGCTGACTTGTTCAGCATGTGGCCGTGCATTTTTTAATCGCTGACAGTGAGCATGCTGTCAATGAAATGCTTTTTGTGTCGCTATATCTGCATCGCATAATCACCTCGTGATTCTGCTTTTACAAAGATGTTAAGCTTTGCGCTAAGCCGTGCGAAGTGAATAGATGCTTGGGCTATCTTGCCGATAAGCTTAGATAAGGTTGGTCAAGACAAGCTAATCATACCTCATATTACTATGCTAAATAAGCATAGTCAGAACAATAAATAGTAATTGATGCAAATACTAATTAGTAGTCATTCGGATATCAATTAGGCCACTGGAATAAACAAGGATATGCTTAGAAGAAGCCTAGTTGAGTCAGTATGTCGCAGCCTAATTGAGTTTGCGCATGCCAATTTAATGCTAGTCGATTCCAATCTATACTCGTAGATAAGTATCGAGTGGGATTAGGCAAGGGTATTGGAGATTGTCGGATCACGCCAATACTGTCCAAGATGAGATGGTTAGCCATGAGGTAGATTAGACCCGACTAGGCTTTTTTTTTTCGGAAGAAGCATGATCTAATAAATCCGGGTTAAGCTAATCCTGAACAAGTCAATCGAGAATGACTAGCTATTGGGTGACTGCTTATAGGCCGCAACAAGCCGATTCAGTTAAATGCGATTTAGCTGGAATCTTTAACCATCCACTTTTGAGTAAGTTGAGATTGCCTAGCCAGTTGGATGAGAGAATATGGCCACACTGAGGCAATGCGGATTTAGCCAAATTAAGGTAATCCGCAGAAAGCTATCCACGAGCAAATGAATTTTGAGTAAGTTGAGATTGCCCAGTTTGTTGGATGTTGGAGAACGGTAACGCTTAGGTAATCTGGATTAAGCCAGATTAAGCTAGTCTGAATTAAGCTAATCGTGATCAAATCTATTATCAGTAATTTGAAATTGCCTAGACATGATTGCGTATGGCCACAATAAAACAATATAGATTAAGCCGGATTTAGCAAGCATGAAATAATCCAGACTAGTGTAATCCTAAACCAGCCATTTTTAATAAATTCAGTTTGTCTAGTCAGTTGGATGATAGAGTATGGCTACAAAACAGTGTGGACTAAACTAATCCGCATAAAGTCAATCACAAGCAAGCGAATCTGGGCTGAGATTGTCTTGCTTGTTTGATGCCTGAGCATGGCCACGTTGAGCTAGCCCCAATTAAAGCAGATAAGCTAATCCGAATAATCTAATCTTAAAGAAATCTATTTTCAATAAGGTGGGATTGCCGGTAAGTTGATACTGAATGTTAATAAAATAGCCTTTAGAGATCCATACCGAATCATGTATGGCATGGCCTCCATAACACACATTACAAGATTTATGTGTTATTACTCATGCTCTCGCCGTGCAATGTGAATATTGGTTATCAACAAGATAAAAATTCGCCACCAAAGCCCCATGGCTTGGTCATGTGTGTCATCGCGCACATGACATGCATGACATGATTTTCATGTTAGGAACAGTCAGTTATGGTAGTTATGCCCTCTTATCATGCCATGTAAATTTTGGCGCTAGTGTGCGCGCGCTTATCCTGCGGTGAGTGAGAATCCTGCGACTTCGGCTTTCACCTGAACGATTACGTTGTAGTTCCAGTAAGACTGTTAGTTGGGCCAGTTTGTTGGGATTCACCGTGAACTTCTTTACCGCGCAACATGTTGTTGCGCTGTAAATAAGTTCACGATGAATTCTTTGTAGTTGCCTGGCGCACGAAGATCACTTCGCTCGCTGCACAGGCCGAGTTTGCGAAAGGAGC